CTCACAATCACCCTAGTGGCGCGTGGCTACTATCATGATGTCTGATCTTGGGTGGGGAAATTGACTCAAGAGAGGCTGGTCACGTTGCTTAAATGGGCCATAAGGCTAATAAACGCAGGAGCCAGGATTCGACCGGATGTCACCCCAGTTCTACAATCTGGTTCCTCTGCTAGTCCACGGGCCGGCAAATGATGATCTGATACCCTCCCTGATGCCATGGGCCGGCAAATGATGATCTGATGCCCTCCCCGATGCCAATCTGTGCGGCTTTCTCTACCATCTCAACTTTCCAAAGCACAGAGGCACATCTGGGTAAGTGACATAAACGGGAGACACAGGGAACAGCGGTTCTCAGGGAAGGTCTGCTTGCGAGTGTATGATCCTAAGTTGCTGCATACTTCTCCTCTCACCCAGGGGGCGGCTCCTGGTTACTCCCTGCCCCCCCCGCCCCGCCCCCCAGCTGGCCAGGAAAAAGCACAGGGGAAAATCCTTCCCATTAACATCCACACCAGCATTCTCATAGGGAGACCCCTGCTTCTCCATGTTTCTCCCAACACACTGCGGAGTCTGGCTTACAACGGGCTCCGAACGGCCAGCAGCACCCGACGGAGCATGAGCACAAAGGCGGAGTTGTCCACGCCAGACAAGGGAAAGTGAAGATCTCTGCGGTGGAGGGTTGAGATGGAGGACAGGGAGCCCGTGGTCTAAACAGGCCAGGGGGCAGCATCTCCTCACGTCAGCACCCTCGCCCTCCCCAGCTGCCCTGCTGGCTCTAAACACCCACTCTTGTCACAGGAGTCCCAATCCTGTCCCACCGGAGAGGCGAGACTCGGTGTTGGTCTACCAGGTTACCTGGCTTGTGACGTGAGGGGCCAGGGGCTGTCCTAGGTACCCCCTTTCTCTCTCTCCTTCCATACCCCTAATCAGCCCACCCAGGGAGGCCCTGGACTCAGGATGGGCTTTGGGGAAGGTAAAGAGAGCAACCCTGGGACCTGGTTCTCATTTTCTTGCTCCAGTCTGAGCCTTTGTGGGAAACTTCTGAAGGTTATTAAACACCCGGAGGTCGTTAAATGCACCGTTAACGAGGTATTAATCAACACTCCTCAGGAAAAAATAAAAAGACACCATTAGCCCCCCCCCCACACACACACACCAGGAAGCGTGAGGCTGAGCACTACAGTTACATCTTTTGTTCTTTTGGGAAGAGAAATACACTCTAGTATGGTCAGAATCTGTGGTCCAGGCAGGCCCAGGGGGCCCATCTGAGGCCTGAGGTCCCAGGATGATGGGATAGAGAGAGGGAGGACTCTTGTGCCCTTTGACCCTGGGCTACAGAGGCATCTGTCCTAAGAGGAGAGTGTATGTGGAGGATAAAGAGGGTCCAAAAGACTGAAAGATCCTCAGGCAGTCCTCCACAGTGGACCTCTGATGCTGTCCTGCGTTCACTAGTAGAGCGCCCAGCCTAACCTCAGGCTGTCCGGAGAGGAGCGAGGAGGTGTCAGGAGCCTGGCATACTTTAGAAAGACCTCCAGCTCCTCCCTAGCTCAGCAAACAGTCAAACGGTTTTGAGATTTTAAATGACTAGGAGGTATTAACACGACGTGATTTTTAGTTGCTGGCACATAGCTCTGCGGGCCTCTTGAGCAGGAAGACCCACGGCAGGCTGTGTTGGCTACAGACACGGCGTAAGTGAAGAAGAAGAAGCCAGAAGGACATGCCTGGGGGTCAGAGAGTAAGGGGGGAGCTCACCCCCAAAGCAGTCCCTAAGACACCATAAGGACTTCCGCTTTCCCCTAGGACCCCCGTTACTTCTGTTCTAGAGGTTCTAGCTCCAACCTCAGATTGGGGGAAATCACAACCAAGTCCAAGAGATGCCATGCTGTTGAGGGTGTGGGTGAAATGTGCTCCTTGAAATGTCTTGTCTTTCTCTGGTGCCCTCATTCCTGGAGGGGACATGACGGAGAAGGGCCTGTCTGTGGGTCGGGTGGGCATCTAGCTGGAGACTTGCTGAAATGCTTGGTGAGGCCAGGGAGGTAGGAATCCCTAAGGCATAGGAAAGCCCACTGAATGCCAAATCTACCCGCCCCCCCCCCCAGAAAGGGCCTTGAACAATTAATGAACACTGAAGGTCCTGCTAAGTTCCTTGAGGCCTCTCCATCTCTTCAGAATCTGGCTGGCACCACAGGGTTTCCAGAAAGTTCCCAAGAACCCAGAAGAGGAAAAGAAAACAAGATCCTCCCAGTTAGAAATGGCCACGTAACCAGCTGCTCTCTCCCTCAAGCGCCAGTCAGAGTCAGCCATACAGCCAGACATAAACACACCCCCCGGGTAGCTGCCTGGGACCAGGGCAGGGCCTAGGACCTTGATAGAGCTTGTCACAGGTATCTGGTCAGGATTGGCAGGGGGTCATGTCCTAGGGAGACTTGGAGGCACCAGGAATACAAGTAGCGCTCTGGCCTCTTCTATTCTATGTGGCCCACAGATCTCTCCAGGCCTGGGGCCCCCTTCTTCACACGACTGAGGAAAGAAAGGATGGACTGCTGGGTTTCTGGTCAGTTCTTTGAGTGCAGAAAGGTGAATCGGAGGGGGTGTGGGGTGGGTGGTGTGGGCAGGATTCACAGCCTGGGAGTCTGCACACACCTATGTCCCTTGGCCAAGAGTAGCCAGGGGTGTTTTTTCAGGCAGCCCAGACATACGCAGAGGGCGTAGTCTGTCTTATCCCAGGTAGAGTCAAGGCAGAGCCCTCAGAGAGGGGAAATGGGATGTATTTGGATGGTGCTGGCACTGTGAAGGCTGGTTCTAAGTCTTGGAGGGACCGGGGGTGGGGGGATAGGGGGTGGGGTGGGGTGGTTGGGAGGTAGGGGGACTCATTCTTCCTGACTGTGTTCCCAGTGAACACAGACACAGAGTCTCTTACTAGGAAGGTATGCATCTGGCTTTTTGAATCTTCTAGTCACTTGGCTAAGCACATTTGGGAGTGTGGCATTCAGACTGGCAGACCTTGAGTCTTCTGGCCAAGACCCCGAGGCTTCCCCTGAGCTTCAGCTGGACCCCGCTGAAGTCCCAGAGAAGCCCATGGTCACTTCTGGGCAAGGCTGTGTTATTTTCTGGCCTCCTTGATCCCTTCCAATGACCTGTGAGCAGACTGAGGGATGAGCAAGTGGCTCTCTGAGAATCAAGTCAGACACATGGTCTCTTTTCAGCCCTTCCCAACCCCATTGAGCATGGTTTAGCACCATCTCCAAAGCCAGACACCTCACTGGACTTTGAAAGAAGTGGGGTTCCGGCTCTACCAATATGGGGGATCCCATTACTGCAGCCGGGAGCTGACTGAAGCTGAATGGTGCAAGTTGGACTTGAGGTCACTATGACTGGAGATAATACTCTGGTGTTCAACCGCCAGTTTTAGCCAGCAGCAGCAGGGTCCGATGTGGTCATAAGTGCCCTACCACCAGTTGGGGACCCTTCTTGCCCCTGTCTCTGTCTTTAAGGGATGTGTGTTAAGTTTGGTAGAGTGTTTTACCCAAAGGGTGAGAGGCAGGCAGGGTGTTTGTTCCTCAGTAATGCTCTGATCTGGGTTCTGCACCTAGCTGCAACCGGGACACGGTTTTTTGACGCCTCTTGACTTACTCTATAAGACCAGGGAGACTTCCAGAGTGACAAGCCATCCCCCCTCATCCCGGAACCCCGCTCTCGTACCTGCAGCACGTTGGGGTGCCTCAGCCGCTCCAGCAGCACCATCTCCTTGAGCAGCTTGTGGGCCGCCAGGCGATAGCAACCCCTTCGCGCCCCGAACTCGCGCACGCAGCTGCCCAGATCGTGGCCGCTGAAGTCCACTGCTTTGAGCGCCACCGCGGCGCCGCCGGGCAGGCGGACCCGGTACACAGCCTTAGTGTAGCCTGAGCCCACGTACTGCGCGCCAGACACGTTGCGGAGCGCGGCGCAGCCCAGGCGCGGGCCCGGGCCGGGGGAACCCGGGCCGGGAGCAGGGGGCC